AGCAGTTCTCGTGTGTCTGGAGCTGGTGGGGTCAGGGTTAGGCATTGCGAACTGCGAGGTGTGTGGTTAGGGAACAGTGACTGTCCTGTCCCTGACGGTTCTCGTGTGTCTGGTGCAGGACGGTATGCTGAGGGAGTACCCAGCTGGCCTGGCTGGGGAGAGGGCCAAGACCCCTTCGAAGCGCAGCACGGGCCGCCGCCGGGGCAGGCTCCCGAACAGCAACAGCCGGCCCAGCACCCCCACTGTCAACATGTCGGAAACCAAGGACACGGACAGCGACCGGGAGGCCAGCGGCGACCCCGGGGGCGACGCCAACGACAAGGACGACGACGACAAGAAGGAGGAGACCACCAGCTCCTCAGGTGCTGCGTCTTCGCCGCCGTCAGCTGGGGCACCTGCTGGAACTGCCTGTTTATTATTCCATTTCTCTCCCGGGACGCTAAGTGGGAGTATATATAAAAAAAAAAAGATTAAAGCAAACCAAAGTCACCTTTCATCAACACTCTTTGATCAGATTGACTTCTCTTCAGAAGCGCTGGGGAGATTAACTTGCCTGTTTGAAACAAGGAGAATATGTAGGCTAATTGGTGCATACCTCCATAAATCGGTTTAGCCATCTATACACCTCTATTTGATTCTTTTTTTATTTCACAGTCGACTCAGTCTAAGAGAAGCATGGCTTTTAGTAATTAAGCCTTTTTGGGGGCGGAGTTATTCACCTCTTTGTGTCACTGGGCAGGAGGGCCTTGTACCACTGCTAACATCAGGCGTCTTTGCTTGTTTCTCTGGACAGAAGCCAACTCTCGCTGCCAGACCCCGGTGAAGCTAAAGCTGAGTTCTGAGCCCCCCGAGAATGTGGACTGGAGTGGCGCTGAGGCCTCCCTGTTCCGAGTGCTCATCGGCACCTACTACGACAACTTCTGTGCAATAGCCAGGCTGATTGGCACAAAGACCTGCAGACAGGTGAGACTCTCTCTCTCTGCCCTCGGGGAGGACGTCAGGGCCACCGAGATCACGTACATTTCCGAAGGCTGAAGCCACATTCGGTTCATTTTAAGTAAAACTCGTTAGAAATTTCTCACCAGGCTGTTTGACATAAACCAGTTTCGGAATAAATTGGTCACAACACCTCGCCTCACTTGTTTGAGATGTGTTTTAGTACGCATGAGATTCTTTGTGGCCTCACATCCGTTGACCTTGGTTTTCTTGTTTGCTTAGGTTTATGAGTTTAGGGTAAAAGAATCCAGTATTATTGCACGCGCTCCTGCAGAAGATGTAGATACTCCCCCAAGAAAGAAGAAGAGGAAGCACCGGTAGGATGCTCTTGTATTTTTGAGAGTTGCAATGTATAAAAGTCTCTACAGGTTTGCCCTGTAGCCTTGTGACACACACTTGGCTAACACCTGTCTTCTGTAACATGATCAAAATGTAAAGTCTAGTAAGTGTCGTGTAAAATAGCATGCATCAGGTACCTAATTTTGTTTCTTTTGGTTATTGTTTTAGGTTGTGGGCTACGCATTGTAGAAAAATACAACTGAAAAAAGGTTTGTGGGTTTTATTAGAGAATCCAGCTGTATAATATGGATAAGTTCCCTTAGCCTTTCCTAAAGCAGAATTTCCTAAACCATTTTTATCAAGTTCTGATCATGCTCTTAACATAAAAAAACGCTGAACCTTGCTTTACATTTTTACTTATAAAAAGAAAACGGTCTGTGTGTTGTATAGAATTTCTTCAGATTCTCCAATCTGTGAACTCTTGAATGTTGAATGCTTCCAGATGGCTCCTCGAACCACGTGTATAACTACCAGCCCTGCGATCACCCCCGCCAGCCCTGCGACAGCTCCTGTCCTTGTGTCATTGCTCAAAACTTCTGCGAGAAGTTCTGCCAGTGCAGCTCCGAATGTGAGTGCAGCCAAGAGTGTCGGATTCGCTTCACACCCGCGTCCCATGCCTGCGTCCGGCTGCCCTCGGACACGGCTGGTCTCTGTAAAAGCGCGTGCCCTTCTCTGTGTTCGCCATGCGGTACGAGATCTCCCGTGTGTCGCGTCGGCCGTGAGAGAAGGGCTGCGCACAGACGCGATGTATGTGCGGGAGGAAAAGACCCTCCCGGGCGTTACGCTGTTGTGTTTTACACACGGTGTGCGCAGCATGCGGACGGGCCAGATGGCCTTGGCGCTTGGTGGTGCGAGGTGCTGACCTTATGTATGGGTGTCCAGTCCTTCCCTCCGGCGCCCCCGTTGTGTAGGCTCCGGCACCGAGGGTGCGAGACCTGGGTGTCCCGGTACGGCTTGATGCCGCCGCCCCTCTGCTGAGCGGAGCGGCGCAGCTCGGAGGCCGCCGTGGCCCGGCCGACCGCTCCGCTGTGGGTCTGAGACCGCCCTGCTCTCCCCGCAGGCCAGAACCGCTTCCCCGGCTGCCGCTGCAAGGCCCAGTGCAACACCAAGCAGTGCCCCTGCTACCTGGCGGTGCGCGAGTGCGACCCCGACCTGTGCCTCACCTGCGGGGCGGCCGAGCACTGGGACAGCAAGAACGTCTCCTGCAAGAACTGCAGCATCCAGAGGGGCGCCAAGAAGGTGGGTGTGGTCGGCGGGGGTCTCCTCCGGGCGTGCGCTCCCGGGGGCTAGCGGCCCTGAGGCCCCGTTGTCTGTCCTGCGTGCCTCTTGGTGGTCAGGAGTGTCCCGGGACGTGTCCCGTCCCGCTGTGTCGGGAAGGATCCTCCAGCGCCCGCCGTGCAACGGCCCACCTCGTGAATGTCCTGGGGGGGGCAGGAGTGTAGCAGATGGTATTGACTTACAACGCCATCTGGCCCAATTGTTATGCTTTGGTCCCCTTTTCGAAATTGTCGTTCCGTTTTCCAAGGTTAAAACGGCGTGAACAGATATTTTCCGGCGGAAAGGGGGAGGAAAAGGTTGCCACACCCGAAGAAGGCCCACAGCCGAGACATTGTCTCTTTTCTCTCCCTTTCCGTGTGGAGTGAATCTTGACCTGTTCCTTTGCAGCCTATGCTAGCTCCAACTCAAACTTTATAAACAGATAGATTTGATTTAGTCATTTAAGGGGTCTGTCAGAGGTTTTTGTTGTAGAAGCTCCCCAGTTATTTCTGGAGCACATTCCAAAGATAGCAGGGAGCTTACAGCTTCTCAAGTTCTGGGGAAACGAAAGCCTTGAAGAATGGGGGTACTTGTCATGTATATGAACAGAGATTTAGTGAATCTACAATTTTTTTCAGGGTTTTAAGAATAAGTTTGCGTCTTCTCAGTTTCCCTTAAGAGGCTTTGCCTGACTATTCCATGTTCAATGAAGTAGGGACTCTTAAGTGTAGTGCTTTGTTGTGCAGGAACATATTCTTTAGGTTCTGTGGTACCTGCTGTATTGTAAATGCAACTTGCAGAGGAAGTATCTGCGTCCTGTCTTGGTGGGGGAAGAGTCACGCTGGTCTCATCTCTCTCGCTTCAGCACTTGCTGCTGGCTCCCTCTGACGTGGCCGGGTGGGGCATTTTCATCAAGGAGCCGGTGCAGAAGAACGAGTTCATCTCCGAGTACTGCGGAGAGGTCAGTGTCATCTCCAGCGGCTGGTTCTCTTGCTGTGTTTTGTGCACACTGACGTGGTCCTGATTTTGCAGACTCAATATCTGCCTAAAAGATACGGACACATTTCAGTAAATGCACCGTTGTTTGTACTCAAACCTTTTCTTAATGTTATACAGAACTTTTGCACCATGAAGTTAACCTATGAATAAAAAGACACTAATTATTCAACATAGACGGGAACACCTTCCAGCGTTCTGCAATGATCACACTTTCCACTGGGAGAATGTCTCTGTATTTAACTTACCAGTGTGTGTTATCAGTTTAATTACTTTAGAAATAGTTCACTTCATTGGGAAAAAGAAAACATGTTTTATGTTAAAGATGTAGGATTAAAAAAAATCAGATTACTGGTGACAATATATGACATAGTAGAGTATATTCTTGCTATAGGAGCTGTATAAAGATTTCCCACTGTGCCTGTTGAACCTAAAACCCCAAAAGGGACTGAACAAAACCCTTTAGCCATACTGGTATTTCACATTTTGCGCAAGCACATTGGTGTTGTGTTCTGCCAGCGATAGTGTATTTGTAGGTGAATATTTTACAGGTGCTCTTTTTTAACTTTTGAATTGCAGATCATTTCCCAGGATGAAGCGGACCGTCGCGGGAAGGTGTACGATAAGTACATGTGCAGCTTCTTATTCAACTTGAACAACGGTAGGTGGTCGTCCCACCAGATGATTGTCTTCTTCCAACGGGTTTGTCTCTCCTCACGAGCGTCAGCTGAGCCTCCTTTTTTCCCCCAGACTTTGTTGTGGATGCGACGCGCAAGGGCAACAAGATTAGATTCGCCAACCACTCTGTTAACCCAAACTGCTATGCAAAAGGTAAAAGGTGTTTTTTTTTCCTTTGTACTGTGGAATAAATAAGAACGTACCTGCTTTGAGGTGATGAGAGGGCGGTAGACTAGTGACAAAGTGTGGTGACTTCAGATTTCTCTCTCTGATGCAGTAATGATGGTGAATGGAGATCACAGAATAGGTATATTCGCAAAGAGAGCCATACAGACGGGTGAAGAACTTTTCTTTGACTACAGGTAAGGCACGATCTGCAAGTGCTAATTCATTTGTGGGGCTAAACGTCCTTTCTTATGCGATCACTAGCCACTGGAACTACAGAAGGTGTTTAAATGTACTCATACATCATTGTAATTTTGAAAGAGGAGTAAAATATTTCCTCGTGTTTGCTGCCCTGAGTACACAGTCTAATAAGAGGTGGGAAGCTGTGTCAGCATGCGTAGGCTGCAAAGGAACAAGTAAAGGTTTATTTCATGCTGAAAAGAGAAGAAAAGCACTATAACGACAACATCTGTAAAGGATGTGCTCACACCCAACGAAGGCTCCACAGATGAAACGTTTTAATTTCTTCTCTCTTCAGCACGGAATAAACCTCTACTTGTTCCTAATAAAATACAGCAATATATTATTACCTGTTACGCTTTGGACAGTGTTACTCTAGTATAATTTTAATATTTAAAAATATATTGGCCAAAGCTGCAGCATAACAGTATTTTGGGGTTGGAGTACTGCTCACAGTGTTCAGTTCATCAAAACCCAGCATTTTATGTTGCAATAAAACTGTAGGGCCTCTGTACGCCTCTGAAGAACTACTTCTGCAGTGTCAGACACCGTGGTTTCTTAAAGCGACGCATCTAGGCTTCAACTCTTGAATCCATTTCCAAACCTGGATACTAGCAAAATCCTGCTTTTATACAACACCCTTTTCCTTACGTTGGCTTTTTTTCCCCCCTGTTTTCAGGTACAGCCAAGCAGACGCTCTCAAGTATGTGGGTATTGAAAGAGAAATGGAGATTCCATGAACCCATCTACCTCCTCCTCAGCCAATGCCTTACCTTTTTCAGGAATTTTTAGTACACAGTACATTTTAAAGGATGTTTGATACACACGGAGCTTGTAGGGTTATATGAATACTGGTTCTGATAGTAATTTATAAATTTTCAGAATTATTTTTTTTAGGACCTCCCCTCCTTAAACAACTGCAAGTTTTTTCTTCTTCTTCCAGTCAAAGGGTCTTTTTTTGGGGTGGGGTTGTCGCATCAGTCTAGAAATGTGGCACCATTTTTAACAAAAAAATACTTGAACCTTCATTCCAGTGTTTACAGCCATCTGCAGGAACACACTGCAAGTCAGACCCTGGTCTGCGTCAGGCCAGTAATGCTACTTTGTGCGAGTTTCTTTTTTTTTTTGTCTTGGCTCTCAAATGTTGATCCTGCCATTTCCTGCACCAATAAAGGAGGAGAAAGGCACTTTTGTGGCGGTTCGAGTAAGTACCCTGTTTACACTGACCCCGTGGTTAGGTCGGCTCTCGGCGGGCTCGTGACCGCGCGGGTCCGGCTCTGATCCGCCCTGCAGCCTCGCGCGGGCCCTGCCCAGTGCGCCGCCCGTCTCGGCGAGGCCGCAGGGCACCGCCGGCGGTCACATGGCCCTCCGCCAGAAAGATCTGTCTGTCGCGGTCCTTACAGTGGCATTGTGTGCCTTTCCTTTCAAGCTGTGTGGTTTACTTTTGAACTACAAGGCAAAATTTTAAACAGATGGGTCACTCCAGTGCCAGAGGACCTAGTAATGACTTAATTGGACTAATAGTTTAGTAATATAATTGGTCTGCTTGTTTGGTATTTACTTAATTGGATTACTTATGTGGATACGAAGTCGAATCTCCTGTGCTTTTTAGTCATAATCCATAATTGGGAAAAATTGCTGCAAGGCCTCCATCCTTGAATATTGGAGTTGTCCCTGGTTTAAACTCTTATTTAACTTAAATTGCCACATAGCCTGCAGAACTCGTGCTAGTCTGTGGTCGACAATGGAATTTACTATACAAAAAAATGAGCCAAGCATGGAGGTCCTTTAATAATAAGTCTCCGAAACAGTCACGAGAGGAGTTTTGTATGCCGTTGAGAAAAACGTTTAGTATGGATTTTTTTTTAAGTGGGATCCTGCTTGTTAATTCCAGTTTTGCTTTTTAATGACTTACCTTTTCTAATATTTAGAACTAAGTGTTTGACTCCTCTGTTTCCAGAAATTTAAGATGAGTAATAGATCAATGCAGCTGTTTAGCCGCTCCATCTCCTTTGCAGTAACAAGCCCCCAGCAGAAAACGTTCTTTCTGTGGAAAAAATGTGGATCGACTAAAACCGCAACAGTCCAATCGAGCTGCCGTTTATACAAGACAGAGAGCAGGGATAGTAAACTTTGACAGCTCTTATCCGTGTTTTCTTCTGGAGGCACGCCATGTGACCCGATGACTAAGCACGTCGGTGGAAATAGAAACTTGTAAATCATGTTCTTGTGCGTTTGCGAGGGTGTAATGGGAGGGGGCGGTGCAATGGAACTGGGAGTTTTTTGTTTTCCCCCATAACCATTGAAAAGCGGAAATGAGGGGTGTCCAGTTGCCGAAGGTACCGCGCGAGGGACAAACGGAAGTAGGTTGTGCTGGGACAAGCTATGTAATGATTTCTTAAGAATGATAAGATGCAGAGCAAGAGGGCAAGGTTTTGGCTCGCGAACCGTTCCCTTTTGCCAAGCTAAAAGATCCTAAATCAGAACAGCGACAAATGATAATTACTTTGCATAAGCTTTAGGTCATTAAGGAGGGGTTAAGCCCTACTGTAGAACAGACAAGTAGCTAAAAGATAGCTAGAGGCAATATGCAGACCACACTATTTAAAAAGAACTGATGACTCAAAGGAGTTTGAGAACTGTATATAAATAGTTATGCTCTAAATTAAGACTTGCGACTGGACTTGTCCAGCATTAAAAATAAACAGTGGGAGGAAAAAAGCCCACCTTTTCGGTTGTAGTTATTTTTTCCATACAAGTTCTTCACATGAGCTGGGACCATGTGTGCGATGTTTTTGCTCAATAAAAAGTAAATGGATATTTCTAGTTAGTGCTTGTTTGCTTTTTAAGGGATTTACAACTCCTAGCTTTTTAATAGTTGAGGTGAATCCCATGGTCAGACTTTCAGACATGTTTTTACTGGGTTCATGCATGAGGGTCCTCAGTAGAAACAGGACATAAGTATGAGTTTTTTTCACCTAACAATGGTCAGGCGCAGCTCGTCAGTGTAAATGGGGTACTAGACTGATGAAATTGAAAAGATGTGAAAAGGACAGCTGGTACTGGAGCTGCAGGGTTCTGTTTTCAAAGGAGAAAACGACATGCATTTGAAAACCATCGCAGACCAGCCATTTGAATGCACAGGGGTTTGTCAGTGAGGAGAGTTCATGGCGGCGATGAAGAATGCCACTGAAAAGACTATGAATGAATCTCTGAAGTGCTGCTCATGTTCCGCTGTCACTCTGCACAGGACTTTGTTGAGAAGAATAAGTTTGAGCAGAAGTAATTTTCATGAATGAACTGTGTACAATTGAACCGTTTTGCGTCAGTCATGGTGAACAACTCCCATTGGGCCTGGCTCTCTGCATTTTTTCATTACAGCTCAGCTCCTTCGGGTGTGGCCCGGATGAATTAATGGGCTTAATTGGAGCCCTTTGGGTGTTGCTGGCCTAAAGAAACCCCGAGACATGTTGAATGGCCCAGTGGCTTTTCCTAAGAGCAGGTCTCCTGGGATTCAGACTCCTTTGCCCAAGGTCAGTTCTCCCTCCTTCCCCTGCTCTGCTGCGTGTGGGGGCTGCAGGGTCGAGGTGGGGGAAGGACATGCCATCCTGTCTGAAGCTCTGGGTGCCTTCAGGATGGGCGCAGGTCGTTGTCGGAAAGCCACGCGGGTCTGTCCAAGCAGAGCAGCTGTGAATGCGTGCCCAGCCATGGTCTGTGGGCTCAATACCACGCTTTCTGGAGCAGACGTGGTGTGTGAAGTCGCCCCCAAAGCAGGGCTGAAACTGATCACGGGCTGTAGCAAGTAGGGTTCCGGCAGGGATAAGATGAGATCCGAATTTCCGAAGTTTACAGCCGAGAGGAGGCCATTAGGCCTATCAAGCTCATTTGGGAGTTTATAGCTCATTGATCTAAGTATCTGTCTCTGGTTTCGTTCATGAAACAGCTGGATATTGGCTTCAACGACATGGCTGGGTAGCCTGCTCTAGAATCTCGTAACCCACAAAGTAGTCTGACTTTGTTTTAAATCTGAACTTTGCGGTCTTTGAGAATAAGCCTGCTTGCTCTGTGGAGTAGGAGTCCCCATTCCTGGTTCCAGACAGCCTGGAGTCGCTGGGGGGTTTCTAGGTCCTGCTGAAGCTGCAGCCCCTGAGAAGCTGGGACGTGCTGCATTGATCTCATTAAGCCAGTAATGAACTGAGCTAGAACAGAAATGCGTGGAGGACCTGGACTGAACATCTGTCCAACGTCGGAGAAGGAGGAAGATCACCGCGCCAAGAGGGTTATCAGGGCACTGTCGGGAATGTCAGCGTATTGCGGCGGGTTTTGAAGTGGCGTTGGCTTTCTCTGCCGTTTGAACGGTATGGGGGTCCAGCTACAGCTTCTCCAGCTCAAAATAAGTCTTGGGGAGGAGTGGAGAAGAGCTGAGCGGACTGCTAAGAACAGTGTGGCTTCAGCAGTGATGTGCAGACTCTGTTATCTGGAAAAATATTGAGGTTTGTACCTCTTGTCTATATTGGAGATGTGCTGCCCAGGCAAGGCCACAACGGACCGGACAGAGGCACTTCTCTATTTGTTAACGAACATGAGAAACCTGTGTCATGGGGGGGCTTGTAATGTCTGGGTTACGTGCAAATGTCTTGAAGGTTTTCAATCTGTTTGCATTTCAAGTTCTGAGCCTGAAGTTATTTTATTTAAATGCCTTTGATTTTCCTGTGAGAGTCTAACTCGAGTTAGTCTTGATATTAGAGAATTTTCCTATATTCACATATTCCTGTGAAGATCCCCGATTCCCTCCGCCCCCGGAAATATAACATTTCTAACTTATTCCTGTTTCAATGCAAGATAGTCAGTCTCCCTTTATTTCCGCCAATGTCGTGTCATTTTAAATCTAAGCAGTTTGTTCTCCTCAGGATTTTCATTGAAGATTCCTTTGTAACCATTCCACCACTGATACTGGTGATGCCTCTAAATACAAGGTGCTGGATTTTCAGTGTTTACAGGTGTAGTGTTGCTTAAATAAATTGAATTTTGACAAACATCTAAAAAACGTTCAGTCTACATTTCATGCGGTTTGGGGTGGGCTTTTTGTGTTCAGTGTGCTGCAGGATGTCATAGAAAGGCATCTCTCTCAGCCAGAGGTCTTGCCATTCATTCACACGAATTGGGCAATAATTGGTTCAATTAATATAACTCAAGTGGACCTGGAACCAAGACCTTGTAATTCTTGTTCAGACCACCTCTTGGTCCGATAACCACTGCAGTAGGTATCGATGCACTACAGCCGGCTTGTTAAGCTATTCAGTTCAGAGTCCTTGCAGATTCTTCTGCAGCCCAAAGAAGATGGGTACTGAGCTAAAGGTCATGTTTATGGAATGCAATTCCTGATTTCTGGTGAGTAATTCCCGTTTGTGTTTGCGTTCGAGTCAACATCTCGGTGTGCTTCTGGATCTGTACCGCTGTGACAGCTTGAAAGTGAAGTGAAAGCTGAAATAGCTCTTAGTTGGCATGAAAGCTGCAGAAGTATCCCAGCTTTGAAAGTTATGCCCACGGGGTTTCTTTCCGAGAAAGGTCATGGAGTGGGCTTTTTACTTTGGTGCTGGGAGATACCAGGGAGGATCCATGAGCTGCTGTGAGACTGCAACAGCTCCGACCCCAACAGAACGCCAGGAAGTAGTGCTGCTGGTTGAGTTGGGCTACGCGATGAGCCGTAGGCGGTATCGGTGAGGCGGGTTAAAGGAAAAGCCAGAGTCGTACCTTTGCCCCTGCAGTTCACCGGTACAAGAGTGCAAACCCAGCTCAGTCAGAATGGCAACGACCCGCTTGCTGGCACAGGTGACTTCAGTGAGCCACGGTGGAAAGGGAAACGCCATATATGAAAGGAACAGAGCAGGGAAGAGGCAAGTTAGTGAAGAAGCGTTGAATAAGGCCGGTCTTAAAGTTCACGATTGGTGAACCACAGTAATTAGTGGCACCAAAGTCTCATTTAAGAGTAATTTTTCAGTGCTGACAGCAGTCCTTCAGTTCATTCAGAGACCTTCCCTCAGCAGCAGTTGAAGGGATTACTGTGAAGTTGCACAGTGGGGTGAGGATATGGTGAACTGACCTTAGTCAGCACTTAGCACATTCAGTTTGCCATAATCGGTCGCTTTTTCATCATGGACTTCGCAGGCTGTTCTGCTTCACTGAGCTCATCTGCTAAACCGGACAGTGTGCTGTGATTGTTTCAGCCTCAAGGATAGGCATGACCTGTTCCAACAGCAGAAAGACTTCTTGAAATATATTTTTTAAAAAAAACTCCTGCAAGGACATGGAAATGGATTTGTACAGAAATTCTGAACATTTCAATTTCATTTAAAACAAAAATATTTTTTGTTAACATCAAGAACCTTCCAGATTCAATTGTATGATAAATGTTAAAAAAATACATTTTAGTAGGTGGTGACATAAATGCATAACACATTTAAAATAGTGAGTCTAGGACGTACTTTGGAGACCTACTCTTTTCCTCTTGCACGGGAGTCGTGTTGAATGGCTCAGTCGTGGCTCGGCGGGGACTGCTGTTGCCTTGTTCCGTCGGCAGGGGGCACCCGCCTTCCGCGGTCACTCGCCAGCGATGCGCTTCTCGGCGGCTCCAGCTCAAGGCGAGAGTTCAGTAACCTGCTGCAGGGCGGTTTGGATGCGGCTGAAGCGCACAGCTTTCCTGGGGACCCTGCTGCTGGGGTGTCACCGCTGGGTGGCTGAACGCAGCAGGGGTCCGACAGGAAGATGGAGGGAGGGGACAGGTAAAACCCGCGCCTGCTCTTCGGTCCACAGTAACGGGGGGTGGGCTGTTCACAAGTGGGCAGAGCAGGATTAAGCTGAACAAGTTCTGGTCGGACGGGAACGGGAATACAAGTTTATGGATTTTTTTAAATTTCGCACCAGCGGTGGTGGGGTTGTGGCGCACAGCCTAGCTCAGCCGGACAAGCTCCCGGTCTTGATTAATTAATAATTGCTTACACTTATAAAGCGCTTTACAGGTTATGGGGGACTCCCCTCCACCACCACCAGTGTGCAGCCCCACCTGGATGATGCGACGGCAGACATAGTGCGCCAGAACGCTCCTCTCAGTGGGGAGGAGCAGAGTGATGAAGCCAGTTCAGAGATGGGGATTATTAGGAGGCCATGATTGGTAAGGGCCAATGGGAAATTTGGCCAGGACAACGGGCTTACACCCCTACTCTTTGAGAAACGCTCTGGGATTTTTAATGACCACAGAAAGTCAGGACCTCGGTTTTACGTCTCATCCAAAGGACAGTGCCCGTTTACAGTATAGTGTCCCCGTCACTATACTGGGGCATTAGGACCCACATGGACCGCAGGGTGAGCGCCCCCTGCTGGCCCCACTAAAACCTCTTCCAGCAGCAACCTTAGTTTTTCCCAGGAGTCTCCCCTCCAGGTACTGGCCAGGCTCACACCTGCTGAGCTTCAGTGGGCTGCCAGCTGTGAATTGCAGTGATATGGCTGCTGGCTAAAAAAGCAGTTCCCTCCTTTTCGTTTGAAGTCAGCTGAAAGGGGGTCTCGCCAGAAGCACCTGACAGCAGTGGGATTCGAACCCACGAAGAGACTGGAGCCTTAATCCAGCGCCTAAGACCGCTCGGCCACACTACCTGCTCTGCCCATTAAGCTTAAGCTAATATACCACACAGCAGGGTCAAATTAGCCACATTCACGTTTCATCAAGTCCACCCCTATACCGTCTTGCCCTCTACTACAGCTTGTATCCTCTACGGTTGAAGGTTCTCCTCTCCTTTGCATGATAACGTACTTGTGCACGAGCTCAACGTTAATTAAAATAACAACATGGAGCAACTAAAACAGTCATCTTACAAACTTGAAGCAACCAGCTGACCGGCGCTCCCACCCCAGAGCCGTGTAACCGGGCGGAACAGCCCGTGCGGGTCAGCGGGCACTCGGGCAGGCGGCAGGGAAGCGATCCGCCTCACGACCCCGCTCCGCTGTGCGCCTACTGCGAGGAGAGGCTCTCGACAAACCTCGGCTGTTTCCTCCCTTCCGCTCCTCCACCTGAAGCCCTCGTCCTCCAGACACGGCTGAGAGCAAGCGAAGGGCAGAGCCGTCAAGGACGAGACTCCACGTGATATTATTTCTACTACAATAATGCAAAACGAGGCTTATACTTTTAAGTGCTTTTGCACTTGCATACAGAATTAAATAAGAAGTTATGCTGTTTAAATAATTACATTACCGATACATGTTAATACAGTATACTGAGCATTTAAGGAAAAAGTCACATTCACTTAATAGGCACAAATACTTTACTAATTAGGTGTCATTTTGTTTTTCATGACTGACCCTATATTCTAGCGATTTTGAATGCTGCTTGAGAACTAGATTTCCTCATGAAGAAGTTGTGCTGTGATTGAACCTGCTGAACAGCCTGTTGCAAATCAATGGACAAAAAACCCAGAGAGGCCGCCCTGCTGATCAAGGGAACGCCCTCTGGCGGCTGGGAACAGTCACCTCACCGCCAGGCTGCTCTCAGTCAGTTTCTCCATCTGGGAAGAGGTCCCAGCTCCACAGCTCGTCTCTGGAAAGACCCAGGCCAAGACCCTCCCAGGGTACCTCTGACAATTACTGCTCCCTTACGGTGTTCAATGACCGATTCCCATCCCCTTTAAAGAACAGCCCACCAGCCATCCACAAGAATGGAGATGAAAACAACCTTACAGAAACTTTTAATTTTTATTTTTCACACAATTAAAAAATGAACGCCACTATACAAATGGTTTTCTTGTAGCAGGTAACAATGCAGATCACACAGGTCTAAGGGCCCATTCCCACACTCTAGTATGCTCTCTGAAAGTGCTGCCAAAATTGCATTCATAAATTACTTTTATTTTTAAATGTATTTAACTTAAATTGCAACCGCCACTAAAAGCAGCAGTCATTTTTTCTTTTTCATAGCGGTTTAATTTCATGTTTTAGTTTTTGCTTATATGCAGATAGGCAGTAGCATGCAACCCCTGACGCAGGTGGTTTTTGGATCCGGTCTGTAATGTCGAGTTTGCTAGGTAAGAGTAGAGGTCTGTGTCCATATTTACACATTAAAATGCAGAGATCGATCCTGAGCAGTTCGGGTGTGAATTTCGGACACTGGCTGGCAGCTTTCCCCAGTCTCGGAGTTTAAAGGGAGATCCGGCTCGGTGGCCCCAGCGAGCTGCAAACGGAGATTCAGACTGCGTTCTCTTCCGTTCTTTCCCGCTCTGTGCTCACATTCCTAAACGCTGGCCGAATGTCAAAAGGAATGAAGTTTATTACTCAGACACTTCGAAAAAAAAAAAAGAAAAAATTAAAACAGGGAGAAAAAAAAAACATTTAAGCCAAGTAGCTGTAGGTATCCTTTTCTCCATCGACGCGTTCTAAATATTCCTTTTCTATCAGTATGTCGATGCATTTCTGGGGGCGAAAAAAAAAACAGAAAAGTGGAAATGAGCAAAAAAAATAAAGGCAGGAGAGAGCAACAGTTTAAAGACACGCACCCTGCTCACTCCACAAGGACGTTAATAATAGATAACGCCACAACTCTAACCTGCCCTCCTACCCAGCCTGCCCATGTTCATTCTCAGCACGGACTCCAACAGCAAGCACTGAAGCAGCCCCAATCAAAATCATATTCTACTGCAGATCTAATCATGTCTAAATACGGAATATCTGCTACACAGAATCAAAAATGTGTTGCACATTTCACACCTTGGGGAGGAAAAAAAAAGTCAAACCAATGCACGGTTCAGTCTGAAAAAAAACAAGCTATTACAACCTTCTATAAAGTAACAAGTAATAGGTTTATACCATGCTGAAAAGAGAAGGAAGGAAACAAAGTTTCGGCCGTGTAGCCATTTCCAGGTGAAAGTGCAGCCTACACATGCTGACGCAGCTACCCACCTGAATTTCTATAAAGTACATTTTTACATCAGCTCAGGTGTCTGCTGTACTCTGCTGCATCCGAAACGAAATGAAGGCAAACCCTTTGTAAACGTCACTGACCGATCGCTCACTCACCTTGATTACGGGCACCCGGGGTTTAAACCTAGAGGACAGCTGGTTTAGTACCTCTGCAAGCAGCTGCTGGTGTTTTAAAACTTTCCTCATCTTCATGATTCTTACGATGGCAGCCTGCAGACGGAAAAGCTCATCGTTAAGCGTTCGGTCCAAGTGGCATCGCCCCTGCACGGCCGGCGGCCGGGGACGCCCACCTGGATCAGCAGCTTCCTGTCCTCCTCGATGTTTTTGTGAGTGGTCTCCTGCTCCTGCTTCTGCTCCGTCTTCATTGGCACATTGATGTTGACTCGCAACTTCTTACTGCAGAGATCACACAGCGCCCATCAACACCGCGCCCTCTGGCTCTCAGCAGGGACACACAGGCACCAAGCAAGTCCCCCAACCCCATGTTTCAGCAGCGATGTGCTTTCCAGTGTCACACAAAGGTCACATTTTATTCTCCACTCCTTTTCACTTTTTTTTCCATTAATAAACATTCATCTTTGATCATTCTCAATTAAGTCTTTGTTGCCACTGATGTATTGTGCACCATCGGTATAAACAGTACTGTCAAAAGTAAACCAGCAAAACGTTTATTCGCTATGCATCCACTAGATTCACGTATTCCTAATGACTTCAGAACCTCCACTGCTCCGTCTTTAATTTTTCACTATGTACCTTAACACCACTAGTTACTTACTTTTTGTATCCGAGAAAAAGTTTTATTAAAGTATCAGGCTTGAACTCAACTTCGTCAACATTTGCGTTTTCGTCTTCCAAGACCTACAAAACAAGAATCCAGCATCTTGGGATCAGGGGGGTCAAGAGAACAAGTACTCCTACACCACTTCTCAAAGCGAGGCCACATTCTGAACCGCAGGTGGTCACGAATTCACACGACTTGCACATACAATAGAACAAGGATATATATTGTTCCGGATGATTTTGTAGCAGGTTTACTGAAACAGAAACTACAGGAATTCATTATGCTTGCTGACCAAGTCAACATTCAAAATTCTATTTCTTTATTTTTTGAAAAACATACGGATTAACAGTGTTAAGCTTGGTTTGATGCTCTGGATCTGACTTGGAATTGGTTAGTACAGAAATCGGCAAATTTGAGTGTTACCCAAGTCAGCAGGTTGTTGTGATGATTGAACTAGTCCTTGAGAAGATGAAATTTAATGTATGTTAATGTACAAAACTGCACCTAATTCTGAAAACACATGAACCAAACTCTTAATTAAAACACCAAGAAGGCACGTAGTGGACACAGTTAAGAACTGTCCAAGTTATTTATACTTCGGTAGAAACCTTTTTAATGGCTTCTAGTACTGGTCAAAAAAGCAGTCCTTAAAAAAACAAACAAAAATAAAATAACTTACCAGTAATTTGGATTTTAATAGGATCTGTAATACCTGCACCAAAACATCCTGGAATAAAAATGAAAAATCTTTTAAAAAGTGACATTCACAGTCATCTGCATTAGTCCCTGTTGTACAAATTGTGGCAAACTATTATGTCCCTTTCAGAGATCCTGTTTCTCAAAACAGCTCAAGCCGAAGTGCAGTATGTTCCCTGTGCCCATGCTATTAAAAGCCCATACTGGTCAACATGGATTAACATGAACACCGGATAATCAAGTAACTTACATGTAGACGATTACCACAGCATATCCAACCTTGATTAGAGTGTGCAGAAGTTATGTCAGATTTCGAAATGTTTACTCACTTAATATTACACATTCAATTTTTATTTTTACATATTACCTTTAGAACACTTCTGGGAAGAGAAACTAAACAAAAACTCAAAAGAAGGAATATTGTGAATCATGAAGCAAATACAAGTTATAGTCAGCTGGACCTTGTATTGACATGGACAAAGAGGGCTTGAAAAATCCAAGAATTTCCAATATCGCGTTGCAAACCGCATGTTAACTTAGCAAAACCTCCATAAAAAACACAACTGAAGAGCTCCCTCCAGCGTCCGCGACCAGGACCTGCGGGCACCTACTGTCTTAATCTGCGTGCTGTCCGTCAGCTGCTGCACGGTGTAGATGTCTTCCGTGTTGTACTGCAGGAGGATCGCCATCTGGAACGTGGACGCCTGCAGCGGGCGGGAGGGAGATCAGCATCACCTGCTGTCCAGCGCCTGGGCAGGAGCCGGCGCTGGAGCCCCCTTGGGGCAAAACGAAACCAAGGCGCCAAACATCTCTGTGCTCATCGCGGCATCACGAAGCAACGCGTGGCGCGGCTTTGCACACTGCGGAGCTCTCCGGGACTGAAAGTCCCGAGCGTTCACAGAGGGCTGGGACCGCGGAATTATTTTTTGTACCACCCCGGAGGTAGCGAACAATTAAGTGTTACCCCTCATTTGTCTTCAGCTGCGCAGCTTTGTGAGCTCTTTCTAGGACAAACACAACCCAACAACTTCTAAACCCAGAGTGCACACTGAGTGCTCTTCTCTCAACAGAAATCCTACTCTTGCTGAACACGGACACGAAAAATCAAAACGTTTTTATACACACAGTGGCTCCTTTCATACAGACGCTCAACATAAACACGCAGATCAACATGCTCAAGGAGACTGGTCTATGGTCTTCAGCACCAGTTGGAATGAATCCACGGCAGGTGATCCGCACAGCTCAGTGGATGTGAAGCTGTCTGGAACACCTGTTTCCCACTGCTGCTGCCTGCCGATCGCTTTTCCCAGCCAAACTGGAAACCACCTGCCACTACTGTAAGCAGCATTTGTAACTGCACGCTAGAAACAATGCTTCATTTAATAAAATGACTTGCAGTGAACCTAAGTCATCTAGAACAGATATTGCTATCTGCACAGTCAGATATCCACGTCTTCACCACAGGATAACTCTTCTAAACTGAAGCAGGCATTGCAGTATCACCCTGCTGACAAAAATATATATATTCTGAACAAAATCTGGACATCAGAATTCTTCCATACTATTGCTGATCCTGGCGATGGAGAGCCCCAAATCCAGCAGATCTTTCAGTTAACCCTAAGTGCCTTTCTACTGAACACTGGGAACTGATTTAGGATTTTGTAAATATCTGTAGGTCAGATTTTCTGACATGTGTTTTATGTATTTGCAGAAATTAAAAAATGATTGTAAAAACAGTCATCTTCTTTTGGTATAGACAAGGGAAGGGGAGTCGTTAAACAGGATTAGTCACTGATGAATACAAAAACAACAGTGCCCAGGGCAGACACTGCCGACGGGCTCAAGAACAAGAAGCAGGAGAGGAGTCCAGGCAGAGCTGTGACAGAGAGCCCAGAGGAAACTCACCTGCAGGGTGTACCTGTTCTTAAAGCAGTTGGTGACCAGCTCTCCTTTCGATAACTGGTAGAGCCAGGTCAGCTTGCGCCCACTGTGTCTGCTGGCATAAAAGGCTGTGAATCTTTGGTAACTCCTTTCCAGCTGTGAAGAAGGACAATACAGGCAGGTTTAGAGAGGGAGAGAGAAAATGGAAACATCTGGCACATTAGTTCCTTTTTATCCCAGTAAACATTAGAATAACGTGCATGATGCATGCCTGTGTGGCATCTTCCATTCTTTGCCATTTGCTGTGGTTCTCCATAAAAGAACTGCGTACACAGTCTCAGGCCACCGATGTCAGCCTTGCCTAGCGAATATAACCCCTGTTCCACCCCAGTGCTGCTGTGTGTTCCCAGTGACTTCACAAGTCTTCATGAAAGACCAGGGCCTCCAACCTCACAGTGGCCAGGGCGGAGAACCAACCAAGGCAGACAGGGATGGGCGGACGAGGAGGAGCTGGGAAGAGTGTGTATCGGGACAGATTACCTCAGACGGCAAAGCAAACGTGCAGGACTGCTGGAATGGCCAGGAGCCCGAGCTGAGAACCTGTATGCTGAAATCCACTGGAAGACAGAGAGACAGAAAAGCCCAAGTTAAATGAGAGCAACACTAGAGCAGAGCCACTGTACCTCAGGAGGGAGCGGGCCCACTGTACCCCAGGAGTGCAGTGCAGGCGACAAAGGGCAGGAAAACACCAGCTTTCAGGTTCCCTCTCAGAGCTACAGTATCGTAAACAAGACTCATTTGACACTTTAATATAGTACTTACTTACTAGCTAATACATGAGTAACCTACCGTTTCTTTAAATAAAGTAGCCTGATGGAATTGTTTAAAATGAGTAAGGACATTGTTTCCAAAATTATTATGTCATTCATTCGGTAAGGAAACTGATACTTTCAGTCATGTAAAGAGTTTTGTATGTTTGTGGATTGCCAAGAGACATGTTTCTGTTTATCTGTAACATAGGAAAGCAATGATCCACTTAGTAATTGTACGAAATAATTAATTGTTTAAATAATCACACACCCTGATTTTCAGTTTGTTGAAAATTCCTAAAATGGTGACAATGTTTAATGAGAGTACTTTGAGAATATCAGAGCTTTTAGTTTTTGGATAACAGTAAGATTAATATCTCAATTATAATAAAATTGAAATATTCTGCTTTTAGATGTTCCCATTACAACATCTAGAGCATATAATGTTTTTTTAGTCACTGTCAAAGCTTATCCAGTCTCTGCACTGCTACTGTCAAATAAAACTGCTCTTACACTATTTCTAGAAGCCAGCTAAAGGAGCAAAAGCTAACGGCAACCATAGAGCTGCAATCCAAATTATTTCAAAAATAACCACATCAGTATTGCTGCAATGATGCCGAAGTGTATTATCTCTGCAATGTGGTGCAAAAGAAGAGAAACTGGAACTGAAATTCTTCTGTATCTGTGACTGATATCACACCCTTAATGTAACCCTCCCTGGTGTTTTTCTTTCAGGGTGTCAGGAAGGGCAATACAGTGCCATCAGAGCTGCTTAGCTCTGTCTTTCAGCGAGACACTCACAGTCCAGGGGCTCAGAGTTGGACAGGTGCTTTTTAAACTGCTCGTTCAAGTCTTTGCTGACGCCGATGTCCTGGAACATGCGCTGCAGTTTGGAGGTGTACTCGAAGCCACATGCTTGCTGAAAGGAGAAGAGCACACTTTCCACGTCAGGGCCTCACCAACACTGCTGGCAGGGCAGCAGCAGCACCAACACAAAATACACCCCATGGGCTCTCAGGATCAATATGGATTTAGTGTTTGGAAAGAGCAGCCAAACAAAAACACCACTGCAATGGGCCCTTGAAGGAGCTGAAAGAAGTTTAAAAGATATCATTGGAACTCGTTCATACAAACTTCATTTGTAAGATAAAACCATTTCCACTATTGCCTTTCCCCTGCTGAATCCCCAAAATCACATAAGAACCTACTAACAACAAAGATTAAGACATCATAGTGTGACACTGCAAGCCTTCGGTGTCGTTAATAGAAAAGAAGCCCATAATTATTAAAATAAGATCCAAGCATAATCAATGACTTCCACTAATATCTACAAAGTGGATTCTGATTCCAAATACTTCAGGGATGTTTTTTTATAGTCAAACATCTCCAAAAATACTGCCCAGCATTCAAGGTGCAGTATGTTTAAAAAGTTGAATAACCCAAGAACCTAACACTTATTACTAACATGTTTGGTACAATGTTTTAATTAAAACTGGCAAACAGCATTTTTTGCTGAGCATAGTCAAACAAGAATGAACTGCAAGCTATCACAAGGGACAGTCTTGACAATCATTCTTTACCCACGGGTCTATAAACCAGGTGGCAATTGTCAGAAAGTCAGAAAGCATAAGATGTTCACCAATAAGACATCTGCTGTGTGCTTGTATTCTAATAAAAAAACAATCATCTGAGACAGCCAAGTCTGAACAGCTCAAAAACATTAAACCGGTGCAGACAATGCGTAAACTCGGTCAAACCTTTAGCTTGGAGATCATGCTGGCCTCTGCATCATCACTGGCACTGTTCTGATGCACCAATCTCTTTGCTAGCATTTTGGCATAAAATTTTTGAAACACATCTTTGTCTTCAATGTATTTAAAGACCACCATCTGCAAAAGGGAGGAAGGAAGACAAGGAAGAAGTTCAGAGCCACAGAAAGCGCAATATAATAACAGGTTTGCAGGACTCTGGAAGTAAATTTAAGTGTGGCTATCTTTAAGAAACTTCAAATGTTTAAATGTCACTCTGGAAAATACTCTAACCCTACAGCAACGTAAATCATACACCATTTCTTAATGTCAGGATTTGTGGGGAATGGTCAGATTTCTTATTCATGTCCGCAACAACAAAAACATGCAAAATCAGGAAGCAGCCGTGAAGATTTCACAAAACCTACCACTTGGTTTAAGGTGTCCTCCAACTCTGCCTCTTCAGGGTTTTTAGAGCTAAAAGAAAAACACTCAAATTACAAACGAGTTCGAGTCGAGCAGAAGACCTCTCCGAGTCACGTTTCGATGTTTCTGCCGATGCGTAGGAGAGCTATGAGGGGGTCTTGCTCATTTAGAGCCGACGCACCCACCCAATCCTGAAGCACACCACGCCTTGTGCACCGCGCACTCGTGTGCTTTGGAAAGGCAAGCGCACAAAAAACCTCACAAAGACTTAAAATGCTACCAGCTACACTGCTTTGAAAACTTCCTTTGAAGAGGAGTCAATCTACACATGAAACCCCTTCAGGGAATGAGCCTACAGCGCAGGTAGGCAGTGCTGCTTACAGTCTGAGCGTGTTGTAAACAATCAGGAAAGGAAACAGTCTGACCACTGGTGATAACAAGGGTTGGGGGGAAACTCGAAAATGAATACAAAATTGAGGCTTTTCGGTATTCTTTTTTTGTTTTTATAACACACCCGTATAACACCTGTTAGCCCAGGTGTTCCTAACAACAAGGAATGATCAGACTCGCGCTGCAGCACGGCTCTCAAAATCAATCTCCCCGCTGTCCAATCGTTCCGCTCTCTCTTCCTGGTTTGGGTCACAACTTTTGCCTCTCGTTTTAAATCGGAACGAGTCGACTCGTGTTTCTGCACACGTTTCCGGCCGACCCGTCTTCTTCGGCGAATGGAACGCGCCGCAATCTTACGTCCAGCAAACATCGGCGGCGGTTTGGGAACTGGCTGTGCCGCCTGCGGGAGCTACAGAGACACAGGGCACAGCCGGGACAGAGGGGCGCACCTTTTCTTCAGCAGGGAGTCACAGTACCGCGCCAGCAGCTCTGGAGACTTGCTCGAAGACTGGGCCATCTTGGTCACGGCATTGTTATTAATAAACCGACCGCAGGCCTGCAGGGGGAGACGGAAAGGTCCATTATGGGGAAAAACAAAACAGCGCATACAAGATCTGGAAAGAGCCTGAGTCTTAGAGGAAAACGCAGTAACATGAGGCATTTAGTAACATACCTTGTCTAATGCAGCCACAAAGCCGGCATCATTGTTGAACGCTGACATTACTAGTGCATTGTACTTCTTGTGAACGTCCAAAATAGTCTGTACATACATCTTGGGATCCTGCAGGTATTGAAAATGCACACGATGGTTATTCCCAGTCAGCTCAATAACACACCTGTACAGGATGGCCACCACAGACAGTGAGCTAACCGTTAACAACACATAATAACGGTTACCTTTCCGGAATTACAAACTTTGTTAATGAACCAACACTGCAGGAATCATCACACCCATCTGAACAGTGTCCAGTGCCCGAGTGCTGGAAGTCTTAGTTAGGGGGGTGAAACCACCACTGACCTCCGAGTGGCTCACAATGTTAAACTCCACCCCACTGGAGTGAACTCTAAAGAGCACACACCGAGAAACGTCTGCACAATGAAGTGAGTGACGCACAGATCCAAAAGTTTAAAAGCGCAAATCAATGCGATTCTCCAAAAACAATGGAAGACGACAATTCGGAAAGTTCAGGGCTATTTGCCGGATTCATGTCCGGTAAAAAACACAAGGAGTGACAGTCCAAAGGCACTTTCACAGGGTGATGAAGAAAACAGTCATGCCTTTAACAGGGGTCAATCAACAGAGTGCAGTTTAACACAGGACAGGGATAGATAAGTAAGGAATGGACAGTGTGGAGACAGGCTGTGTGGGTTATGCTATGTAAAACAAGCAGGACATTTTATAAACGTCCTGGTCAGTTATGCAAAATGTCTTTGAGGATTTATAAGCATGCTTTCCTAGCACATTAGGAACAGCACTCCGGCATTTTTAAATCAAGTTGTATGCTAAAGAGTACTTCTTTTTAAACAGAAAGTGAAAGGATATTTGGCACCTATTTCTGCAACAGATCAGCAGGAATCCCTCACATGTACTCTATGATGTATCTTTTGCAGTACAACCACACTTGTGCTCTCTCTTGGTCCAAGATGTATTTGAGGAACAAAATCCCATTTCAAATGCACTCCCTAAACCTGAAATTTCCAACAATGGAGAAATATGTACTATACTGGCTCCATCATGAATTTTAAAAATAACACAAAACACGAATAACTGTTAAGTTACTTAGGTCTAACATTAATAAACAAAAATAACATTGCTACATTTTGCATTGGACAGAAGAAAAGAAACGACCAATATCTCTGAAGCTCTGGATAAGTGACAATTAATGAAACAAACTTGACTAAAGCTTTGTTTCAGAGGAATCGTGTTGCTGGGCAACAATCCTGGATACTGGTAGCAAATTCTTCTACTGTAATCATGTCAGAATTCAAGCAGTCCAGGTGGGGCAGAACTCAAGCAGTGCCAGAGGCCAGGCGGGGCAGAATTCAAGCAGTGGCAGGGGCCAGGTTTGACAGCCAAAGCAGACTCGGAGGGCCCCCAGCATCTTCTAAGACCCTGAAACACAACTGCCCTGTCTTGTCTCCTTACTGAACGCAATGGGTGAGCAATGTCCCATCTGTCTTAGCCCTATGCAAACTACAACAGAAGGCCGAGGTCACCTGTACCAAGAGGCGCCAACCTGTTGCCAACCAGACTCCAGAGTTGAATCCACCACACAACGGCCTCACAAAAACCACAAGGAAAAACACCCACATGGCAACAAAATCTCCCGGAACCCGCCCACCCATCAACACCTCCAGCCTTCCACTCCTCTCCCCGGAAACGAGCAGGTCCTGCAGAAAAGCCAGCTCCCTCCCCGGACCGCTACTCTGACTGCAGTACTTACATTGAGGGCGGCTTCTCCACACTTCTCAATGGCAGCGAGTCCCTGGTTGTGTATGTGCGTCTCCAGCAGCTTCTTTAACTCCCCCAGACCGTCCAGGATTCTGGAGACCAGATTGTACATCCGGCCCAAATCTGAGGAGCGAGCAAGCAGCAACACTGAGACTGCTGCTCCGGATATTCACGGATTTCCTGATTAATTTAACCAGAGCAAACTCCCCTGTAACTGAAGGCACTTGTGTTTTATCAATTCAATGAGTATTAAATAAAAATAAAAACAATAACAATAAAAAAAGTAACATTAACATGGCAATAAGCCATCTGTTAATATGAGATAGAAGATAAAAAAGTAGAAAAAAGGTGCATAACAAAATACTGAGGTTACTGTTACTAATTAGCCTGGGATGAAGAATTACATTTCCAGCTGTTTTACACAGCAAGACCTTTTACCAAATCAATCCGATTAAAGTTGCAATGCTGCACCTAAAACATTAAGTCAATGACACTGTTACGTTAACTGTTGCGTCTTAGTTCATTGCTGCTTTTTGTCTACTGTCTCTGTGTGCTGAGAAAAAAAGAAAAAATTAAAAGTAAAACCAAATCCAACTTCTTGAGGAGATGGACACTGACAGTTACTACCATTTCAAATGACATAAACCCCCTCAGTCAGTGCTGCATCATCACCAATAGGGCTACACTGGTTTTCATTGCGGTCATCTGAGATTTATGAACTCCGCTACACCAGCGTGTGAGTAACAAAACCACAAAGAACCTCTTTTTTAGCCAAACCACAGGTTTAAGGGCTTATGTGTGATGCTAGGTCAATCATCCTCAGCTAAGATGGATTATAGATCAAAGCAGATATCTGTCGAGTCATACAGGCAACTTTTTGACCTTGATATTCAGCGCCACACTGCATTCAGTAAACCCGGCCTCTTACATATGCATCTTCCCTAAATATGTTCCTCTTCAGAAGATGGAATGACAAAGCGCTGATTTCCATGGCCAGGCGTAGAAGGCCTGAACAACCTGACCCCCCCCTCGCCCCCAAACGAGCCATTAAGGTCGGAGGGAGAAGAGAGAGACGGGGGCCACGGCCGTGCAATGGGGGTGAAGAGTCTGTCTCCAGCTCACCTTCGTTCTTGTCGGCGTCCAGCAGGTTCTGGAACTCGGTGTGGAAGATCTCCAGGTGCTTCTCGATGAGGACCTGCTCACACTTGCGCGCCAGCTCGTCCTGCGTGCTCTCGTGCAGGTAGACCTGCACTCGCCTCTGCTCCTCCAGCAAGCGGGCCTCGGCCTGCGGGGGGACAAGCACGGAGGACACTCGGGGGGCTCCAGCAGGGTCACGGACGACAGGAGGCCAGCCCGCCCGTCCGCCGCGCTCGCAGCTAGTAGCCGTTTCTTGAAAGAAACCGGGCTATCGGCTTTAACCCCCATGGCTCGTTCCGTATCCCCGCGAGCCCCGCAGACGCGGCGTGCTTTCCTCCGCAGGCAAATGTGTGGGGAGACAGCTCCACGGAAAGGGGCTGAACGCCAACAGCTCAAGCTGCCTTTATCCCTAAAATCCGAGTCTCGCCAACAGACAACTGAACTTGCAAATGGAGTGGGGGGCAACATCTGCTCTTAAATTATACTTGCTTCACTTATTTTCCCCGCGATGTGGGGAGAAACTTGCCATTCCATACATTTACAGAGCTAAAGATATGAAAGGTGCTTTTACTAGCATCAGGAGTGCAGAAAAGGAGATAAGGAAAAGCCTTAAACATTCATTTCTTACAAATATTTTTATACAGAAGGAGTGACTGGTAATTTCAGAATTGGTTTTATTCTTATGCTGATGTGCCTGTTCAGGGAAGAGCAGCCTTGTTCCCAGTCACGTGTCCACACATTCTGATTCAAGGGCTCACCTTTTTCATGTACTCCGTAACAGGATTTTGTTGCAAGAACTCTGTGCTTTCCCTGGTATAAAACCGCTCGGTATCTGCTAGGAACTGAGTCTCAAAGTATTCTTTGTACACAGATAATGTAGGTCCCTTTGCAAAGGCATCATCTTCATTCAACCCAAGTTCAACTGTAAGGGAAGACAAAAACATCAGCAGGACTTTGGAAAAGCCAGATACCAGCATCGCTTATGCAAAATAAAATTCACAAAATAAAAGCCTGGCTCAATCAGCGCTCAGCTCATAAAGCTTTGATGGAAGGTATTGTGATGCACCTGTATCAGACTTTCTCAATATTTGCTGCTAGATAAATGTTGGCAATGAGGGTGAGGAATTATCTCCAAGGCAGCTGGGATTTTGTCAGCATCAAACGCAATGAATGCAGTCTCCGGAAATAAAGGAGCAGAGTGATCTTAGTTTCTTGCCTTTCCAGACTCGAACATCATACAAAAAACAAAAACAAAATGCACTAGAACATTTACCATAGGACTGGACTACTCCACTGATCAGCCTTGTGTTGATGGTCTCCCCATTCCTTTCCTTTTCAATCAGCTTCAATACTGCATTCGTCACCTGCAGAAGAAAACAGGTTGGGCAGCACATGCATGAGTCATCTCAAGGAGCAGACCTCAACACGCTGTGCATGCAGCACATTGCGTTTGTCAGAATTTCAATGCATAATTGTACAATAAGTAGATACACCTAATGAAAGAATTTAAAAAGAGTTTCAAAATTAAATATAATGGGAAAGCACTGCAATAAATATAAAGTGATTTGCCTGTGCAAATGTGATTAAAATCGGTATTTTTCCAATATTACAACAACAATCAGCCTCCATGGGCCCAAACATCAGCTGCTCAGTTTATAACAAGATACCCCACTGTACCTCAACTGTTCAATTTCGCCCATTTCAAAAACCGGAATTCCCAAGAGGATTCAGCTTCCTAATTTTATTTTTCCAAGACACGACTGCATCAAAAACCAAATGTTTATGATCTTCATGCATGGCACTTGAAGCATGTAGAGGCACAACAGATCATGCCTTTGTCCAGCAGAAGCTGAAAGACGTCATGGACTGATTCATTCTTTAATAAAACTTTACTCACTTGGTCTGCTGCATCTAGTCAGTGTTACACCAAAAGCTTTACCACTGTTTAAGACAAAGGTGAGGAAAATCCTCAAAACAAGCGGACTTACTTGTTTATTTAAAGGTCTAAATAAGCATTCTCTCCATGTCACCAAGGCGAGCTGGAAAAGAAAAACAGCTTATTCTGCTTCTGTGCAAGTGTGGCTTGGATACAGGAAAAGAACTGTGGAAGCAAACCGACTGTGCAATTCAACTACCCACCCCTTTCAGACAGTTTAACAATAATCTTCCACAGCCCTTTCCTAGTCCAAGTCATTTCATTTTCACTTACAATAAAAACGCCATTTTGTGCTACTTGAGGAATTTAAAAAAAACAGGACTAGATTGTAATTAAATGTATTTCACAATAAAACTCTTGTCGCACATCCATTAAGAAGGAACATGCAGAAGTCAGGGTTCTCTGATGCCCCCATGCATAAGGAAAAATAAGAAGCCTAATCTCTCATTTTTCAAGATCACCGATTTATACAGGATAGGCCAAAAGTCTAGCAGGTGCCTTCTTTTTATTCCCTCACCGGGATTCCCTAAACGCTGTCTTTTTACCTGACCTGGAGACCTCACTAGGGTATGTGGGCACAAATCGTTTACCACTACAGTTCCCTACCCATCTATCCCAGCAGCGAAGCCTGGAGTGTGGAAGGAGATAAAACAGGTTTGACAGCGCAAAAGAGTTCGAACGATTATCGTTCTTTCCTATTGGAGATGAAAACGTACACGACCTCAAGACCAGTGCGTGAAATTCAGTAGCAGGTTATGTTGCAACAACAACAACAATAACAAAATCCTCCTGATAACAGGGCGGCCCCACTGACGGCCTCCGAGCAGCGGCGGGAGCCGGACCCCCGGGGCCGCGTGGGGGAAACGAGCAGATCCTCACCGAGTAGATTTCGTAGATTCCCTTGCGTCCCTCGTCACATTCGCGGCGGACCCAGTGTCGGTTGAGGTAGGCGCAGATACCGTTCAATACTTTGCTGGAGAACCTGTAGTCCTCCCACTGCTGCGTGTAGAACTTGAGAACGCTCTCGTCCATCAGGTCTTCCCCGTCCTGGGGCAGGGAGACAAGGCACGGCAAGTTCAGAGTCAGGAGCGGCCTGCAACAGGCTCGCCTGTGCCAGCGCTGCACTGCAGAAAGCCAAGGAGGAACAGGAACGAAGCGCAGCGCCATCGCTGCGTACCTGCTCTCACCACTCAAGCTCTCCTGCACACAGCTGAAGACGTTTCACTCATCCCCCATCTCTTCCTGGGGCTAGAAACAAATACTGCACTTAGCTGGAATAGAAAATCTTTACGAACAAAAAAAAAAAACAGAAGAAAATGACAGTTTCCTGTGAGGCTGCTGAGCAAAGTGAGAGCACCATTACTGGGAGGCCACAGCAGTGACTCAGACCTCGGAAAACCAAAGATGACTTCTACCAGAACGCACCAGAATGAAAGGAAAGAGCCAAGGTGATTACAGCTTCAGCTCTCCTTCTAGCCCCAGTTTCATTTTATTCCGTTTCCACCTTCAAATGTTCTCTTCCCACGGCAGATAAACACACCCCGAGGAACAGGTCAGCTCGCTGCGCTGGAGAGGTAAGACAGACGGGCAGCGAGGTGGACCTGGAGCAGATACCTTGAGCAGGTTTGTCAGGTAGTTCTTCAGGAATTCCTTCAGTCTCTTGTAGAGCTCCAGTCCCACAAACTGAGCCCCTCCGGGGGTCTGTGCCTTCTTGGAAGGCCGGGAAGGGGGAACCCCAGCACCTCTGGCCTGGTTTGACTGATGCACACTGGTACAGTAGTTGTAGACATGTCTGAAGGGCACGTTAAGGCATGAACATGTGCTCACGATGCAGCGCTATATGTAACACACACAAGGACCTGGACGTCAAAGCACACTGTGCAATGACATTCGGTCAATAGAAGGACATTGTCTTAAAGGGGAACTGCAACCTTTTTAATATTTCCAAAGCCTTTCTTCTCTTTTCATCAGGGAATAAACCCTTACTTGTTCCTTTGCAGCCTACGCACGCTGACGCAGCTCCCTACTTGAACGAAGTTATTACAAAACAACTATGGCTGCACTACAGGTGTGTGCCTGCTGTCAGTCTGTGACTGTGTTCAGCCAACACAATGATCCACGCCTGAAACTCCACAGCAACGCTGCGAGCAGCCGATCCGGTCTCTGACACGCGACACTGCGGTTCCTCATTCCTTCAGCACCCGTTTCACACTGCAGAAGGTCTCCCACCTTTCAGCTCAGCGAAGGTTAAGATGAGACAAAAGCAGACACACAGGAATGCTGCGATTTGACATGGACATGATTTTGTGCTACATTTTTACTTCCGTGCTGATAAGGAGTTTTGCGCTGTAGACTATAGCCCTTAAAAAAAGATCTCTTGTCCAGTCAATAAAAAAAACAACATTCGATTTTTCTTACATTAACAAGAAGATAAAAGTGAGCCAGTAACTGCCTGCTTCTAAATGTTAATTTTAGTAACCTTTTAAGCACTTCCCTTGCTGAGAAATTACAAAAGCAGTACACCTACACTTATTTAAAAAAAAACGATTTCAGACTTGAACAAAATAAGGGAATCCCCAACACACAAGCTGAAAAGAAGAAAGCCATGTTACAAAAACAGGATGGACGGCTCAAATAAAACAACCTGTGAAGTAATTCCTATGAATTTTATACGGGTTAACTTTCACCTCAGGCTGAGCAGAATTCTACTCATAACGCAGGCTCCTGGTGGCAACACTTAAAAACAGCTGGACAGTGGCTCTTTCAGAGGCACGCACAAGCACTCAAGCTTCCTTTTAACAAGGAAACATTTTCTGTTGTCGTGCTGCTAGATGCAGCCGGTCTGACACCTGACACCCGAGTCGCTCTGAAGGTGTGTGTGTGTGTCTTTGCTTTTATTCAGAACAACCATTTCCCACAAAGCTAAGAAAACAGGAGAAAGCAGAAAATTTGGGAAACGTCAAGCATTTTTTAAAAGGCAAAACCTGTCCTGATCAGCTCTGTAACTTTGAAAGTTTCAAGCTTGCCTGTATTGTCAGTCTGCCTTTCCCATCCTTAAAAAAAAAAAGTGTCAGTGATACATCGTCAAAGAAGTGTGAACTGAAACGCCGCGTTTGCATTCGAGGGAGAGCAAGATCGCAAGAGCTCGGCACGAGATGCGCGAGCAGGCACGCAGACCCCCCAGCTCCTGCCGGGAACGCCAAGCGAGGACCAGAGCCGTAGGCAGCGCTGACGAGAGCCAGCAGAGAGCGGACACGAACGGACGAAGGCCTGAGTCATGAAGTCGTGAAGTCGTGAAGAAAGGTGCCGTTCTCAAAGGAGAGAGGGAGAAGAAAACGTCCACAGGGACCGAAGCCCCGAGTCACTGAGGGCAGGGGGAGAGGCAAGCCCTTCTAGGGTTCTGGAAGAGAAGAAAATCCAGACTCGAGGCAGACTTCTCAACCGCTTCCCTGCCTGCTGTGAGCCTGGGGACAACATTTCCGACAACAGCAACCGAAGGCCAAAGCTGGCCTTCAAGGCAAAATGTCTGCTGCATTCAAGTTTGTGCTTTCCTTTTTAATGTACGTCATTACACACATACACCGTATGTTCAGGACACACGATCTTCAACGGCATATTCATTTTGTAGATTTCTAATTAACTCAATTAGCAAAACTCTTATGCTTATTGAGACTATTTTATTATATATATATATCTTTCAAAAGAAAACAAACTGCCTCCAAATGCTGACTCTCCTACACATCCCCACACTACAGATCTCACTTCTGCTTAGTCTGGGGACCAAGTGTAGAACCTGCAGCCTAAAACAACCCCTGGCGTTGAGGACCTTGACATGAGAGCTGTGCTACTTCTTACACAGCCTTTAGATAAGGTTTACACCACCTTGTGATGCCGGTAGTTAAGCTAATTAACCATTTTATTATGTCTGCATAACCATTTGTGCTTTCACAAAGGCGAATGTCCTTTTTTAACACTTAGAAATCCACACTAAAAGCAGAGCACACAGCACTTCAGCTCACACCGCCGAAACGTTGTGCTTTCTTTCTTTTCTTTTCAGCATGGAATAAACCTATTACTTGTTCCTTTGGAGAACACATTCTAAGTCTGGTCTTAGCTTTTTTTATTGAACTACTGTCTAGATGCTTCAACTTTACCTGTAATAAACACCTTTCTGATGACAGATCAATTTGGAAGAGATAAACTTACTTTTCAATGGGGCAACACATTGGTATAATTTAGAATGCAATATCAAATTATGTTAAAGCAACAAATCACCACAAAATCAGAAGCAAATGAATGTTTTTTCCCCACTGTTGTATTTGACAGGGATAATCTTAGTATTGTATAAGTTCAGACATTACCGTTTTACTACTCAAGACCCCAGTCCATGACGGGAACAGTTGCAAATACGACCCAATCATGTTCAGCATTTCCTGCAGACAATAATAGGGGCTCTGATTTAAAAATACATGCACGATTACTAGCCAGCGCCAAGTCACTGACATCCACCTGCTACCCCCCCAGACACAACTGTTCTCTGCCCTGCTACCCCCACAGACACCACACAGCTGTTCTCTGCCCCAGGTGATTCACCTGGCACCCAGACCGTTTGGTAGTGAAGCAGGAACACAGCAATGGGCCTACTCAGGAACAGTTAGCAAGCACATGAGCGTATGACACATTGGCCAGGGGCGACTGCGACATGAAGAACAGAGATGAACAGCGAGCAGGGCAGAGTCTATGATCCAGGCACTGAGCAGTGAAAGCTGCTGACTGAATGCCTCACTGGGGACAGCAGACTGATTCCCGGGAGCAGATTTGCAAGACAAAGTGCTGTTCAGGTTCCTGTGTCCTTCATGGATCCCCGTTCATCGGTGAAAAGATTATTTGCGTTGATTGCACATTGTATTTATAGTTCAAAAGCACGTGTACTTTGTCATTGTGCAAAATGCAGATGTTAGTCTCTTTCAATCTGCACCGTCCTTGATGTACCAAATTCTGTCCAAATTCTGAGTGCATAGGAAATGTGTACAGGTGAGTGTTTCAATTTAACTCTCTGAATCCCCAATATAGTTCTGGGAATCACAATTTCTTGCTATGGTACCACTGATGAATATAAACAGTACCATTAAAAAGTTTTGTATATTTACCAGTTCAACATTTTTTCAGATGCAATAGGTGTATGAAGTAGAACAAAATGTACGTGGAACAAGCAAACCCCTAGTTTACTTAGCAAAATTAAGGGGTAATTAGAATAAGGCAATTAATCAATCAGGTAAAAGGACTCAGTTTGGGCAGCAAAGTTCTAATAGTCAGAAACATTGTGAGTTAGGCCTTCAGCACACAGGTAAACGGATATCTCTTGATGATTTCAGAGCACCTCAGAATGTGGTTAATGCTCAACAGTATGAAGAGGATTACAACACCATTTCTGAAAATGTGGGGCTCCATCCAGCCACTGTCTTGACAGTCTAAAAACTTCAGCGTCTGTACTCCAGACGGATCGTCCTGCTAAGATCTCCACAAGAGCAAAGTGAAAAATCATTCTGGAAAACCACAGAGTAACATCTAAGGATTAGGACCTGATGGGTCTCACTGCAGCTAATGTCTGGCCTGTGTTCATGCCTCAATCATGAGGAAAAGACAGAATACAAATGATCTTCACTCAAGAATAGACACTACTCTCTAAAAAGAACACTGCCACATGTCTCGGGTTCACCAAAGAGCTTCTGGACGATCCACAAGACTACTGGAAGAACACTCTCTAGATTGATGATTTGCCACCAGTTACTGAACCCAAGCACTCACATGCCTTTTCATTGGAGGAAATTTACTGTTGGATCATTCTATTAATTAAAATGATCTAGATATATCTTATGTTTGTATTATATGTTTAATCAGAATACTGTCATCTTCTAATAAAACTCTTCTGAAGATTAAGTTTTGGATCCACTTAGGAGAACAGACATTTTTCTCAGCAGTGTGCATGGTATCACAAATAGCTCTGAAGGCAGCCAGACTCCACCTGCTTGTTGTTTTCATCCTGCTGAGCCTGTAACAGCCCTGCACTACTAGGAAAGCTCTAACGATCCTGAACCGTTTTTTGCAGAAGGTTCAACACCAAAACGAGATGCACCCCGCGCGCAAACAAGACTTTGCCCACCACCGTCATCGGCCTACCACGACCAGAACTTTCCAGGGGTGTCCTCCCTCACACACTCCTGCAGCAATTCAGAGAACAACCTGGCAGCTGACCGTGTCTAGTGCACTGCACCATGCGTAGCTCATGGCTTTAGTACAGCAGGCAGGGTGATTTCATTTATTTCCAGGTCTCGGGCTGGGAAGCAGAACAGTGCAGCTTTTTCTTGGGAGCTGCAGGTATCCCAGTGCTCACCACCTGCAGGGGGACCTACTGTCCTGCACATCACCAGTGGCCACGATCCTATGTGTAAAGTTAATCAGTCCGGTCGGGACTTTCTTCCTCTCGATTCTTTGCCGATATTCAGAGAGGGGATGGCGATTCCTGATCGGGTGCGATTTCGTTTCCCCACTGTTTTACTCGGCACATTATTTGGTACGTCGTGGATATGCGCTCGCCCGCCATTAAACCGGACTTCTAAATCCCATTGTTATGCAATCCTCACACAGAGACAATCTCCCCTATCACAACTCTTGCAATTTGTGTTTTTGCAAAGTCACTCCCACAGACGAAGGACTCTGCCCGAATAGCACAGTACAACGGCTTAACACCGAAAATTCAATAAGTCAACTAGATGCAAAGGCAGATGAGGTTTCTAAACGGTAAGTTAGAAACTTCTCGTACCTAAAAGTATGCTGCAGAGCTTGGCCATGAGCCCTTTTTGTTCAGGTCAGTAAGATGAGCAGCAGTACAGACCCAGAAAGCTGACCGCGAGACTGTTGCACGCCTCATATACAAGTCTATGTAGCTCCTAACAAAATTCAGGCATCTAAAAATCCATGTGCTTACTTCACCCCTAACATCTGTCTGCCAGTCTCATGCTCATGGCAAATCCATAAAGCAACAGACCGGGAACAGAAAGCAGGACGACAGCGAAGCTCTCTCTCGCTCAGCAGGTTCTTCCAATCCTCCCAGCACGGGCAGCAAGGAATTTCACTTTCCCGTATAGCCACTGGAAAGGGAAACCCTGCGGCGTGCTGCTGCTCCGGTCGTGAACTCACCATCCCGACCTCGACACACTGCGGAAGCAGGTGCAGCACAACAGCGTTGTGAACTGCAAGTTACGACATACGGTAGCGATCACGAAGAGGCACAAAAAACCTACAAAATTCACTCAATGAGGAAGCTGAGATTTGCAAAAATACAGCACCAACAGCACAGGCTCACTCTGTTAAGAGAGAATGACTTTCGGGTATTCAGTATCAGATGTGGCGGCGAGATGTGCTGACATCAGCAGCAGTCATGCTTCATTTTGCACTATATTGCATGATTCTCAGGTCCGTTTTTCACCTCATCTGCTGTGCAGAGAGGCTGCTGGTGCTGAATACCTGTCACTTGTCACCCAGGTGAGTACCATACTTCAGTCCTGAATGAAGTAGGTCCCCTCCTAGAAATTGCATTACATACATGCAATTCAATTTATCCAAAAATACCTTGTATCCAAAACGGACCCAGCATCTTTAAGAATTTCTAAACTGACACTCAGCATCTTTGCTTCTTTTAACCCAGACAAACAGCTTAATGCTTAAAGCTTTTACAAAACGTTTAAGCTTTTATGATGATAGATTTTGTTTGGAGGGTTGCACTGCAAGTTTGTGTCCGTGGTTAACGCTATAATTTGCTTGACAGTTCAAAAACACAGTGTGAAAAATTCTGAGAAGTCACAAGGAAAAAGTATAATATACTTAATTATACCACCTTACTAAGAAGTCAGTTTAAAGACCAATGACTTTTACAGCCTGGCAGTGCAAATTTACTTTCTTAAAATCAAAGATTCACCACGTGAAGTTCACAAAACTAGATAATCATCACAAACACCCTAAACACACAATTAGCTACTGTTTATATTCCAAACACAATGAATACTTCTTATATGCCTTCCCAGTATATTATGTGATCTTTGCTTATGCTACAAAGAAACATCTTGTGTGGCTGTGGCTTGTTTCCCAACATCTCCCAGTTGTATGACAACACTTTCCTAAAGCAGACATAACGGAGAGAAAAAGAACTGAAACATGATCATCTTAACCAGTTTGCAGAAGAGGGTGGAAAAAAAAATCTCAGAGCAGTTCCTTTACCTGAACTCAGTGGGACATGGGTGGGTTTGGACAACTCTCTGCACATCACACACCTCATCACCTAACACCTGACCAAGGTATATCCGCCTCTGCACCCAGCAGATACACTCGAAAAGGGAGAGAGGCGTCCTGGCCTCTGTACTCTCCCCCATCACCGGTCGTGGACGGGCTATTTTTTAATGAATCTTACTTGAGTAGTCCAAAATCGATCTCATCGGCGGGGGGGAAAAAAATACGTAAGAAAGCTTAAAGAACTTAATTTCTCCACTCCTAGAAAAAGGAAGCCGGGACCTCAAGAGAGTGATCCGTATCCAATCTGCAGATCCAATTCTAACCCAACTCCAGTGACCCACAGCTCTTCCTCCAGACTCCCCTGCTGTGCAGTGATCCTCATAGCCAGGGCTCTGCACAGCCCCCCAGCACAGGGTAGGATACGTGTAGAGTTCCATGTATCGAGACTTGGCCATGCTCTGTCTGGTATAGACCTGCTGTATTCCCGCGCGAAGATCATCCCAGATCTGGTCCAGCCCAATCTGTTTCAGCCCATGCGGGTTCTGACTTCTGTTCGACGACATCGTCTGTCCCTTCCCGTCGTTTTTTTCCTTTCTTTGCGACCGGTTTTAAATATTCCTTCCTTTTAAACGAGACAATTAAAAGCTACTCCCCCATGAGGCGCAGCGCTGAAGAAACAACCACGTCAACCCCCCCCCCCAAAAAAAAAGTATTTAAAAAAATCCCGTCCTTTTCCTCCAGAACACGTGTGGCGGCTCCAGCAGTTGCCCCGTGAAACAAGTGTTAAGAGCCCACGTCACCAGAGGACCTGCAAGAAACAAGAGGAAAACAAAAACACAAATTATACTTCGGACTCTGCTAGCTTTCCGTGCTGTTCTGCTCCTTGATGATGTGCTAAAATAGGTTTATTCCATGCTGAAAAAAAGAAGAAAGAGAACACAATGTTTCGGCCGTGGAGCCGTGCTCACACCTGAAGAAGGCTCCACGGCCGAAACGTTGTGTTCTCTTTCTTCTTTTTTTCAGCATGGAATAAACCTATTACTTGTTCCTTTGCAGCCTACGCATGCTGACGCAGCTACCGACCTGATGTGCTAAAATGCTTAGTGTCCTTAAGTTAAAGCACTGCTGTCAGTAAAGCACTTCTCCACTTCTTTACAGCACTAAATATAAATCAAGGGACATTGCGTTAAAACTGTACTGTACACTGGTAAGGCCTCATGTAGCATACTGTGGACAACTGTGGCCACCATGTTAGGGGAAAAAATGCCTCTGCTCTGGAATCAGTCCAGGAGAAGAGTTCCAGGGTTTAAGGTGTAGGTACGACCTTGTAGGTGGAAGGAACGGAACCTTTTATTCTTCAAGACTAGACTGGAAGAAGAGTATGTGGGGACCCGATACGGGAAATTCAAAACTCAAAACCTCAAAGTTCAATTAACTGTGAACATTTAAAACTGTGAACAGGAGGCGCTTCTTGACACAAGTGGTTGTGGGGACAGGGAAACGATCCTAACTACCCAACAGGCAAAGGGGCCCGATGGCCTCGTGTGCGTCTATTCCATTCCTATGGTGTGTGAAAACAGCAATGAGACAGAAGTCGATGCTCCTTAAACAACTTTGCCACGCAGTAAAGGCAGAAGGCTGCCAACATCACCAAGCAGTGTCTAAAACACTTCACATGGCAGTTGCATTACAAAAACGCTCAAACTACTTAATATTTGTGTCATTTAGCTGAAACCCTAAGAACCTTCGGCAGAAGTGTCTGTCTGTGAATCCTTACAGAAAATATTTCAACAAAACCACAGTGGATTTTACATAGTTCTTGAATGGTCACTCACTGATAATTTTTTGTTTTATCTTAAGTTGTCAATGATAAAAAAGTTAACTGTTTTTCATCAACTGCTTGGCGATTTTTACTTTACAGTTCAATGCAGTAATACAGTGACAACAACATCGACATTTTAAACAAGAAAAATAAACGTAGGTGGACACACTGGCGAAAATTAACATTGTGATGTTAAGAAAAAAAGATGCAGAGAAACAGGGACTTAGATGTGACAAAATGACAGGAGTTCAGATCAAGGAAAATGCTCAAATTGAAACAGCTCATTTTCAACACTAAGCACTGGTTAAAAAACGTGAAACAGGGTGTTAAATTCAGGATTTTCATAACACAAACAGGTAAAACTAAATTCTACCTGTTTGGTTATACAAATACGACACACCTGTTCCCACTGAACTTGATTAAGATAAAAGAAACAATTCTGTTTAACAGCTTTAATTTTAAAATGTAATAAAATGAAAATTGCGGCATAAAACATTTTTGTGTTTTTAATTTTAACAGTATTCCACAAGATATGGCTTTTAATTTTTTGTAGAAGATGAAAACACTTCGAACCCAATGTCTTGTCTTAAACTACGCTGTCGTCTGTCTATTTAAATTACAAGGACTCTTATTTTAAGAATCAAAGGTAAATAAAGATCTTGGGAATGCAAGATGTCATTTCCCATTCTCACAAGAAGATTTTATCATGATCTAATGTATCTTACTGACAGAGCCTGTCTGTGCTCTTCTGTATCAGACAAAAGTAATCTATTTTCTCATGATCAAAACTACTGAGAGGCTCTGTCGACAACATGTATCAGCAGTGACTTTTCTCACCAGGGTCCGTGAGAAGTCTGTGCTTGATTTCCTCCTGCAAACTGAAGAGGAAAATAGGAAATATGTGTGAAATAACAATAATGATTAAAAAACAAAACAGTAGAAACAAACAACCTCAATCCTATGAAGAGTTGGACCTGCCTTTCTCTGCACTTTTTTTTTTAAACGTTAAGGCATTAACACGTGTACTTACATAGATGAAAAGTGTAAGTGATGTGTGTACGAGATCTCTGAATACTACTGAAAAAAAATTTACACAACTGGAAAAACGGCTACAAATGAGAAAATACGATGCCAAAAATTAAGATAACAGTAACATGGATCTTAGACCTACTTGGCAACTTTGCTAACATACAGTACAACTTAAATGGTGAAATTATACCATCGACTAAATAACTTTAAATCCAGCAGCTCAGGCAACAGATCCATTATCAGATACAGAACCACCAAATCACATTTAAGAAACCCTTCAACAGTAACTTAGAGATAAAAAAAATCAATGCACAGATCTGACCACTGAGGGCGATTAAACACAATGTACCGACAGTACTTCAGGTAGCCTCCTGCTGTTTTCCTACACCGAATACCAGAGAACCAGAAATAGTGTGCAGGTGTAACTGTAATATTTGATCTGGGGAAATCTGAAACTTGCACATCAAGTGTGATTACAGCTGGAATTTTACTGAAGTATCCAGAAACGATACTTCTCATCTATCAACCAGCCACTAAAAGTCTATTTGCAACAAGTGTGTTTGCAGTTAACATATATCAGGTGTGATGCCTGGCTTGTATACTGCATTCGTGTTGGTGGTGCTATTGCGCACGATGCCCATTCAAACTGGTAAAAAGAAAACCCAGCAAAAGTGCTCGTTTAACTTCAGCTTTTTAAATTCTGTACTGATGGTGCTATTGAATGATTTGCCCGAACAGAACATAGGTTATAAGACTTAAAAGTGAATTGCTAAATTTTCCATCACTAACGTCTGCACTTCAGCTAATGAAAAAGTATATAGTTTCATCTAAGGAGAAAATTAACAAAAAGTACAAAACTACAGGGACGACAGGAATAATTCATGGGCGGCTGAGTCTTTAATGTCTGAGGATCTTTAACATTTAATTCAACATGAATCTGCCCACTCCTGACTTTTAAAAGCTGGAGGAAGCTAATCTCAGACTTTTTAAAATTTAAGCTAGTATGTTTTTTTGCACAGTCATCAAATGATGTCGTGCGTGTGGGGCCCATGAAAGAAAATTGACTTGCAAGTGTGCAGAAAGACTTACACTGACCTCTGGAGGGAGACAGGAATGTCCGATGCTGCCGAATTATGCAAGACAATTAATTTAACTATTGATAAGCACCCATTCACCACTCTCCAGAGACACGGGTATCCAAAGTTAGCTCATCACGCTCCTTGAAGCAAACATTGCATGTGGACTAGAACTGATCACCACAGTGCAAAATATTTTGTATTTTCCAGCCTTACAGAGAATATTCAGACCCATTGCAAGTTTCAACTAGAAACAGCACAGCTGCGTACTGGGCTAAATACCACCACTGGGATATTAACCCGGCGTGTGCAAAGATAGATGTGGATCACTTTCCTCATCTGACTGCAGAAAGCTGATATCAAATGAGCAGAAAACAACGATGGGATACTTCCCACTCTGTTGACACTCAAAACTGAGCCGCAGGGCAGTTCTTCGTCCAGTCATGGAATTCTAAACAAAGCCTTCACACAACATCGGAATGACTCGTTCGGCGCGTTCCTGTACAGCGACACTCTGCAACCTCTTCTCCCGTGACTGGAAGACGGGCATATCAAGTTCCTCTCAATCTCAGGGCTGTCAGATTCGCCCCTGCCGGGTGACTAAGCAGTCGGCGGAAGGGAGGACTGATCCTGAATGGTCCCATTGTGACAGGCTGCGGTTCAGCCGCGCTCAGTGCCATGTCTGTGCCGGGGACTGAGGATCTCGCCCAGATCGGCAGGAAGTGGCGCAGACCGGGTTTTCCTCCGACTAAGAACGAGAGCCTGCCTTGCCGCACGCCTCCCATTTTTCCTCACGTGGGCAAAAAAAAAAGTACTTAACAGCGCCTTCGAAAGAGAAACAGTTTGTTACTGTGCAACGGGACCCTGGCAGCGTCAGCAACACTGAAGTCCAGAACGGTGGAGTGCCAGATGAGAATCGCAGCTGGAGGACAGAGCAGCTGGGACAGAAGGCAACAAAGCAACAAACAGCAAAGGGGCTACAGACACTGAAGCACCTGCACTCCTTTAACAAACATTAGGCAATTCCCTTAAACTACAAGATCAGAATAATACAGGTGTTGCAGACATAAAGCAACTCAAGTACCTGGGAGTAATGAAGATTGCTGAAGTGAGATATATGCCTGCAAATTAACTTTGATGAAGAACAAAGTGAATCAAGTCCCACTCACCCTTACTACAAGTGGAAACATGTAACATGTGGGGGATGATTTCCACACACGCCAGCCGACATTTATTTTATGGCAACAGCAGAATCACAACACATTCTTCCATTTAGAATTTAAATAAAAACAGGCCTGTTGTTTTCCAAAATGTATAATTATATTCTGCACACGCACTCCGAATACTCTCTGCAGTGGCATTACATCTAAAGCAGCCAAACGCATCTTTAGGCCGCAGTGCACAGAAGCAGTAAGGATCACCCACTATGTGTCGAGCGCAAATTATTCAAGCAAACAATGCACAGTTTCCAATATTTACCATTTCCTGCAGTAAGCACAAATAGAGATTTCCTTCTACGGCCCTAGGACTTGAACAAAGCATAAAAAACCTTGCGGCGCGCAGGTGTACCCTGCAAGGCTTGGCATGCATGGCTTTCAGAAACAAACGCAACACGTGATCAATGACCACACAGTCCCCACGCTGTCGGAATGAGGGTCTGAGCAAGCGCTCGGACCGCCCTGCTCGGCTCCCGGGCAAGAACGGGCTGTGAAGCCGTGTCCTACCGAGTGCCACGGTTAGCTCAACGCGCGCCGTGACCCTGGCCAACAGCTGGAGCCGTCCTCTTGTGAGCCAGCTGGGAGAGGTGGCAGAGCGTCCACCAAGTGAGCTTCTGCACTCACAAACAAAAACCTATGAACAACGTTTCCCTCTCAAGCTGCT